AAAAGCCGTCCTAACCCTCCAAGCGCACGGAGACAATTGACCGACCAACCATTGGAAAGCTAAGGGTTCCCCCCACTCTCCCCAACCGGTCCGAACGCACTGCGACGTATAGTCACGTCACAAAAAAATGCGACGCATTACTTTCCGGACAGACCCTGTACATATATACATACATATATACTAAATCCAGTACATTACATACTGGATCTGGTTATGCAATTTCGGATATATTACGCTAAACACATAATAAATTTTCGCTGTGTTATAAAGATATAAAATATACTTGGCTAGTTATTATGAATCAAGCACAAACGTATACATAATTTTGGCAGATTATTCCGTAATATTGCATAACATATTCTTCCAGTTCATTATATACTGGGATCTGGTATATGCTATTTCGGATATATATAACGCATGTATATAATGCATATTATGTTTATAAAATAAAGACAAAAACCCACACATAATTATATATATAAACACTGTATATAATAATTATTGTTGTGTGTGAGACTGTAAGAGTTTATATATATATATATATATATATATAATATTTTTTATCTAGCTAACAATAAGTATATTTTATATCTTTATAACAGTAAAAAATCATTACGTGTTTAGCTCAAGTGTGCAATATATTTTAATGTAATGTAATTTTAAATTATTTGTTACTATACATATATAAACAGTACATCATAAACATTTATTATTAATTTTTGGTCTAATCGATTTGATAAATATATCGCACAGCATAAGTTCTTGCATTAGACTACAAACAATCGCAGAGAGCTCTGCATATTTTTACACACATATATATACATATATATACACACATATATACCAGATCCAGTACATTACATACTGGATCTGGTTATGCAATTTCGGATATATTACGCTAAACACATAATAAATTTTCGCTGTGTTATAAAGATATAAAATATACTTGGCTAGTTATTATGAATCAAGCACAAACGTATACATTTTGGCAGATTATTCCGTAATATTGCATAACATATTCTTCCAGTTCATTATATACTGGGATCTGGTATATGCTATTTCGGATATATATAACGCATGTATATAATGCATATTATGTTTATAAAATAAAGACAAAAACCCACACATAATTATATATAAACACTGTATATAATAATTATTGTTGTGTGTGAGACTGTACGAGTTTATATATATATATATATATATATATATATATACAGTCACCAAACTAATTGACCGGACACTGCGTTAATATATCGATAATTTCTAAAAATTCAAGATAGAGCAACTTTGTCAAAAATTATCATAACATAACGATCGAAAAAGCATTTCACAGCTTAAAGTCTCTACTTTTGAAATCCATAATTCATTAAATGACTTACTGATTCTTTACAAAGCTGCACGGATGCAAATGGAGATGCATCAAATCTAAAAATTTTTACCAAGTTTGCGAAGTTCCAAAAAGTAAAATAAAAATCGCGCGCAAATGAAGTTAACATCGTTCGAAAGCGTGAATCTTTAGCTTTAATTTGAGTACTTGATCAGCATTGTGCA